GATGGTTTGTGAGTGTTTTAACAAATACGATTCCCATGACCTTGAATAAAGGACAAGGTAATTTTTTTTGCAAACTCTGTCAAGCTCATTCATGGAACCTAAGAGTTGAGCAGAAGATTTTCTTTGAACTCTAAGTGCTTTAACAAATTGAACACCTGTGACCATGGATATGGGTCAAGGTCACATCTTTTCGCAAATTTGTTGGGGTCCATACCAGAACTTTCTAGTCAAATAATGGTCTCTTGGATATTGAGAAGTCATTTAAAGAACGGTATCCCTCCTTTCAGTTTGAATAGGCAGGTAGTTCAAAAACATGATTTTTGCAATAAAAATAATAATTTTTTTATCTAGTGATATTTCAAACCCTTTTATAGTTTGTATTAGTTACATTTGGGAATAGTTCAAAATATCGTGCGACTGCACGTCTCACTATTGATAAAGGGATTGGCGTCACAATAATCACTCCACGTGGTCACTATTCACATTGACATTAAACACTGTGGGTAGCAGGCTGTAATTGACCAACATAAACAATTGCTATTTATCCATGGGATAACGGTAAGGGTTTTGTCAAAGAACAACATTGTTTCACTTCACATTTTGGTAAAATTACCACTGCTGTCCCAGTAATTGTAAGATTCATACAGATTTTCATAAAACATTAATCCATAGTCATATTAGGTATAAAGTCTTCAGTCTAAATCCACACACCGCATACCAACATGTCAACACTAACTTCCACCAATACACAAGCAGAAATGTGATTTTATCAGCTATTTTCTTCATCATCCAAAGTTATAAAGATCAAAATGAAATCTGTGATTTCCTATCAGCTGATTAACATGCACTGCATAGCAGTAAGCGTTCAAAAGATAATCATGAGATTATCGAAATTTCCTCCCCAGAAAATACCGTTTCTGACCAGCAGTTTCCAGTCCTACTGGGACACTTCATTGTGATTTTGGGCAATGCTGACCTTAAATAGTTGGAATTCTAAACTATTTTCTCAAGCATTCTTTCATTTAATTCAAACAGGTTCAACAATATGTAATTACTTTTGTTGGAACTGACTGAAGATTTACTGTAATAAGTTGACGATGGACAGACAACAGATGCTGCACCAGGGCATAATTTCACTTTTCACTTTTGGTCAGGTAAGTCATCAAGAGATCCAGAGGGATGTTGGCGCCCACCATTGTTTGATCTTTATTTAATCTCTGACGGTTGCATCTTTTCCTTCTTTACTCTTCTATGTTTTTTGTTGTTAATGATAAGAAATTTGAACATTTCTTTGCAGATATGATGATAATTATCTTGAACTGCCACATAAAAGATGGCCGCCTGGAAGCAATTTCGTTTTTTCTGATCAGTCCCAAAATCAACGGGCACAATTAAGGTCCAAGGGGACCTGACACATGGCTTTACAAAAATATCTATGCTGTAGTTCTTAAGAAATAGCGATAAACTTTACCTGGTGAAATGAATGATGGCTGCTGTGGGCCATTTTGTTTTCCTAATCAGTCCCAAAATCAAATGGGCACAACTAGGGACCAAGAAGAAACTACATAGGAAATTTGAGAGAAATCCCTCCAGTACTTTTCAAACAATTGCCATAACAAAAATTGTTTATGAACAGACCACAGACCACAGACGTATGGCGATTTGAATAGCCAACCATCTGGTGATGGTGGGCTAAAAATGTGGCTTTACCTACATGTTCGGAGTTATATCCTTGTTACATGAAACGATACATTGCAAATATATGTAATGTATAATAGGTATTTATAATGAGGTGTTATTAGTAGAGAGGTAAATTAAAGGGAGACAACCAACTTCTGAATGATGAAGTGAACTATAAATGTTTACAGGTAAAACACAATGAAGATTCAGTTCAAGCTTTTCATTGTTTTACTGTGCTAACAGAATACATAACCGTATAAAGCTCTCAGTATCAAATTCAATTCAGTATTAAAACAAATGCTTATAAACAGGCACATATTAGAGACATGGAATGCTGTGAAGACAAAGAGAGGCACAGGGCTAAAAATCCTCTTAACTCATGTTACAGATATGACTGCTCCATCCATCATAACAAAACTCAAACTAGTGTTACAAACAACACCAGCCACAACTGTTATTAAACTAGTGTTTCAGAAATCAAATGTGTATCACATCCACCAAAATTCCTTTCAATATTCCAGTTCAGATTTTCCTGCCTGATATGTATCTATCCCATCTTTTTAACATATGCTAATTCTGATTGCGGCTTGGTTAAATGGTGAATATATGTAAATGTTCTGGTGTGAGAGAAATAAGTAGACCTGATCGTGTAACTAAATAGTGGTGACATTTTCATGTCAATTAAATAACTCACTATCCTGTATACAGACAGACATAGAAACCAGGCATGTAGGTGTCCAAGATTGATGATAGGAAAAACTGTTGAATAATTTCTCATATCTAAAACTAATTTTTTGTGAACGTCAATGATCTTTGTCACATATCATTCTGTGAAGTCATGTGATATGCTGTTTGAAGCATTTACAAAAAATGTAAACATTACTGTCTTATGACACATCATATGAAATCAAAAACTTTCCAAATGTGAAATAAATATTAATATTTCTTGATTTTTTTAACAAAGCATAAATTGATGCAAGACCTACTTTTTAATTTTTATTTTCCTATGGCATACACCTCGATCTCTGACTCAGAAGTTTAATATCTCAGCCTAGATAGGTGATATTTCCTACTAACACCTGGTGTACATCAGTGTAAACATCTCAGGTATGACATGGAAAAGATATTTCCTGATAACGCCTGGCATACATCAGTGTAAACATCTCAGGTATGACATGGAAAAGATATTTCCTACTAACGCCTGGCGTACATCAGTGTAAACAATTCAGGTATGTGACGAGAGGGATATTATTTGATAACACCTGTGTGACGAGAGGGATATTATTTGATAACACCTGTGTGATGACAGGGATATTATTTTATAACACCTGGCCTATATAAGCTTTAGCTACCTTGATATATATATATATATATATATATATAAGTACAATTATATATGATCAATCGTTTTCTCTGGCAAGTAATGAAAATTATGTAAAAAAAACCTTGATTAACATAAATAAATGGTATCAAAGTAGATACATTCATGTTCTTGTGTATAAAAATGTATAACAGATTAAAAAACAAGTGTTGTAACATGATTTTCTAATGCACCACACTGTACAGCCAAGTATACTTTAAACAACAATTTCCTAATTACACACCAATGTTTATCATGATCACACAGCAAGTATAAGCTATTAGTATGAAATTTACAGTTTTTACAATAACTTTAACAAAAACAAAATCTATATGAACTTTTAAAATTAATTCCTGCATTTTCATGACAAAGTAAAATCACAAACAAGTAACATCACAACAAAGTAACATCACAACAAAGTAACATCACATTAATGTAACATCACAAACAAGAAACATAACAAAGTAACACTAGAACAAAGTAACACCACAACAAAGTAACACCAAAACAATGTAACACTGCAACAAAGTAACACTGAAACAAAGTAACACCACAACAAAGTAACACAACAAAGTAACACTGAAACAAAGTAACACCACAACAAAGTAACACCACAACAAAGTAACACAACAAAGTAACACAACAAAGTAACACTGAAACAAAGTAACACCACAACAAAGTAGCACAACAAAGTAACACTGAAACAAAGTAACACCACAACAAAGTAACACAACAAAGTAACACCACAACAAAGTAACACCACAACAAAGTAACACAACAAAGTAACACCACAACAAAGGAACACCACAACAAAGTAACATTAAAACAAAATAACATCAAAACAATGTAACATCACAACAAAGAAATAAAACAACCAAGTAACTTTAAAACAAAGTAACATTGTAACCCGCTGAAAGCTTATAATATAAAAACCTTTTGCAGGGAAATGGTGGTTGGATGACATTATAAACCTTGGACATGTAGTTGGTGGTTGGGCAACATTTTCAATCAAAGTATCATCATCATCATTTACAGAATACTGCCTTAATATGTCATAAAAAGCTTCTAAATCAAAAGTTAACAAGTGATATTATCAAAGGTAAAGGGTACACTCCAGAATCAAATATAATGTCAATTTCTATAGAAGTTAAAAATAAAAGAAGAAATTGAATATGAATAAAAAATTCAAATTATTCCAATGATAAGAAATATAAGGAATGAAAATTGCAGGAGACTTAACCCATGACTAACACATTTCCACCTTAAATTTTACCTGTGTCCTTGTCATGAATATCTTTATTGTAAAATTCTTCTTTACAGTAAAAACTGAGGCGTAGAGGTACCCTTGACCTTTCATGTTACAAGTGAAGCATTTACTCTGGGTGAATAGGTTAACCAAAGTGTAGAACATAATGAAATAAAAAGTTTAGCAAATATTTCAAAAAAAAAAAAAAAATGAAAAAAGAAAACCTCAAAAAGGTAAATTTAAAAGAATTAAAATATAAATATATCTATTTGTTGAATGTTCCATTTCTTTTTTACTATGACAGGATGTTTTGAAATTTTAGTGTTGTGACAAAATTTTTCTATCTACAATTAAAACCAAATGTATGACAAAAAAAACAATGTAAATTGCATGTGCTCAGAATCATACACAATGTCAAAGAGGTTATTCCTATATCAAAGACACATCCAGAATTAATCAATTAGGCAAATAAAAGCCAAACTAATAAATATTAATTATTAACTCACTGCAAATTTAATTAATTTAGTTAAATCATGCGGCATCCATGCAGGAAACTGAATGAGTACATCATATTAATCATTGGAATAGAGTTGGCTTTGAAGCAGTACAGTGTGACCATATAGCTACACAAGTCTTGGCACTGAAATTCAATGTCAAAGCAAAAAGGACGCAGTCACTGGCAAGCATATACATAAGGCTCACACAGCTACAAGGTCACTTACTCGCTTTCCTCCCCTTCAGAAAAGAAAAACCACTTTTCACTTTGGACTTTGAAGCAGAACTTTCTGTGTCTTTTAGATGGGAAGGTTTGTCCTTTTGTTGAGAGGATATTCTCTTAGGTTTTTCTGGGACAGGAGGGGCCTTTTTGGTACTCTTCTGTCCCAGTTCTTGAGCTTTGTCTACCACAGGAGGGGTCTGTTGGGAACCCTTCTGAGGAGATTTGGACACTTCCTGTCTAGCACCCTTACCCTTTTCAGGAGAGGAACTACCCTCAGATGATACAGAGCTCCCCCTGGAAGAGCTTGAGCCTGTTTTTTCATAAGATCTCCTCCCAGTTCTAGAATCTCCAGTAACCTCACTTCCTGACTTTCCACTTTCCTTGTCACCGAACATTGCCTTTGACAAAGGTGACTGTTTTGTGCGTGGAGATAACGGCATGCCTCCTGGTGAGGGAGGTGTACTCCAACTCTGTGACTTTTGTTTACCTCCTTTTGGTGATGGGGGCGTGGTCAACTTTTGACTCGGTGATTTACAACTGCGCGGCGAAGGTGGTGTTTTACCGACTTTTGGTGAAAGCGGTCTTTTATGTCTTGGAGGTGGTGACTTGCAAGTTGTAGGTGAAGGAGACTGACTTGTTTTAGGAGAAGGTGGTTTCCCTGTCTTCTGCTGGCCTGATTTTAAGTTGATGTCACCTTCTTTTGCAGTAGTATTCGGAACATTATCTGGTTCTGTTTTCAGCCCTGGAATTTCTCCAACACCAATATCCTCTAATTCAGAAGAGACTAACAAGGCTAGTGAAGGACTCTCTGTGACATCTCCTGTTTCTCGTCCTTTTGCATTTGTTGGAGGTGGAACCTGGACCTTGAGTTTTCTTCTCCTTTGTGGAGGTTCCATTTTGTCCTCCAGCTCTGGAATTGTCATTTTATCTGCGTCAAGTATTGTAGATTTTCCCTCCTGGTTTATGCTATCAGCCTGTACTACTGCAGAAACCTCCTTGTTCACTGTATTTGTCTCCTGTGCCTTCGAGTTTACAATATTGGTCTTCATTACTGCAGAAGATTGTGTATCCTGCTTCTGAACACTGGTCAGTATTACCGTAGCAGTATCCTCAGTGTCAACATTTGTCTCCACAGAGCCTGACATTTCCTTGTTGGAACAAGACTCAGAAGAACCTTTTCTGGTGTAAATGATATCCTCTGCAGGCTGGATAAACGGATTTTCTCTTTCCAAGGGAGTATGTGCCAGGTCAGCTTTGCTCAGCACATCATCCCTAACATTTGGGCTAGAACCACTGCTGAACCTGGCTTCAAATTTTGCTGCATCCGAGATTATTTTATTCACAATACTTGAAGATTCTTTCTTGGTGGAGGATTCAGATGGAGTCTCCAACTTTGATCTGATATTGTCAACATTTTTGGTTTTCTTTGACAACTTTCTTGCACTTGATCGTGATGTTGACTGCCTTATGATTTCAGACCGAAGACTGCTACTGTCTAAGACATTCAGGTCAACCTCATCCTCTTTAGTCTGTGCAGATGTCACTCCAGCGCCCTTATGCTCATCCTTTGGTGATTTTGGTGTCAGACTACTGGATAAAGTTCTAGGTTTTGATGATGCAGACATTTCACATTTCTCTGAAAAAGATTCTTGTCGGCCCCTTTTGACATTTCCATCTTTACGTATGAAAGGGTTGTCTTTTAATCTGTTTATGGATTCCTTTACAATCTCTTGCTGTCCGTTGTTCATTTTCATCTGTTTGGCAAAAACAGGGTCATATTCCTGTGTGAACTCCATCTTCTCAGGAGTTCTTGGAGAAGTAGGAGATTTTGGAGAAGTTGGCATTTGTAATTGGGTTGTTGCCTTCCTTTTAGGTAACAAAGCTGGTGGGGGTGGCTTACTTTTGTTGCCATGACTACTAAAGACAGACATTCCAGAAACAGGCGATCTTGGTGAAGTAACATTTGTTGCAGCTTTAGTATCCGTGCTATGTTCCTGTATCCTCGGAGATTTCGGTCCAACAGTCACAGACAAAACGGTACTACTACTTCCAGTAGGAATCTTGCCAAACTCTTTCGATCCTGGTGATGATGGTGTCGGTACATTAGACTCTGATATCACAGTTACTGCATTTTTGCCACTTTCAGTTCCCTGTCCTTTGTCTGAGGGTTTTTCTTTATTCATAGTATCCGTACCAGACAGAATTTGATTGAAGTTGAAACTTGATGATTCAAGATTAGTAGTATTTTGTCCACTTACATGAAAATCAAATCCATCACCTTCAGATACAATTGAAGAAGGTCTTGATGAAGGCCTTTGCTTTGTACGTCGTTTGGGACAAGGTTGAGGAGGAACTTTCTTTCCAAGACTGTGAGAAGAGAATGATATTTCGCTAGGAACGGCAATAATGTTTGACCAGCTGTTGCCTGTTTCACTAGCATTGGTGTCATTCTCAACACTTTGGGTGATTTTGGTTTCCCCGGTAACACTGGTTTTCTGTAGGGCTACAGTACTGAGGGTGACCTCTGCTTCAGCTGTTACACCTGTTGAATTATCACCTCTGGTTGTCAATTCCTTCTTTACCTGATCTGATGATTCACAGACAGCATTTCCTTCTGATGTACCCAAGGTCTGCCCTCCTCCAAGTCTCACTTGCTCTGGTACAACCTTTTCTACTTTGATTTCCTCTGCAACAGCATATTCAGCAATGAGTTTATCAGTCACAATGAGTACAGGGTTCACCGTCTCAACTTTCATACATTCTGATTTCCCTTGTTCATATGAAAGATGATCAAGTTTTACTTGTTCAGATGAGAGATGTTCCAGCTTTTCTTGTCCAGATGAAAGATGATTTGATTTTTCTCGTTCATATGAAAGATGATCAAGTTTTACTTGTTCAGATGAGATGATCAAGTTTTACTTGTTCAGATGAGAGATGATCAAGTTTTACTTGTTCAGATGAGAGATGTTCCGATTTTTCTTGTTCATATGAAAGATGATCAAGTTTTACTTGTTCAGATGAGAGATGTTCCAGCTTTACTTGTTCAGATGAAAGATGATTTGATTTTTCCCGTTCAGATGAGAGATGTTCCAGCTTTTCTTGTCCAGATGAGAGATGATTTGATTTTTCTCGTTCAGGTGAGAGATGTTCCAGCTTTTCTTGTTCAGATGAAAGATGATTTGATTTTTCCCATTCAGATGAGAGATGTTCCAGCTTTTCTTGTCCAGATGAGAGATGATTTGATTTTTCTCGTTCAGATGAGAGATGTTCCAGCTTTTCTTGTTCAGATGAAAGATGATTTGATTTTTCTCGTTCAGATGAGAGACCTTCTGTTGACAAGTATCCTTCCTTCCCAATTTCAGATTTCACGATATCAGACACATTTTCTTTTTTCAGTTGATCCTGTTCAAACTGTTCATGTTTATTTACAACTTGAATACCATTTTCCTTCACATCAACATCATACTGGGTGCTGTAATCAGCTGTGGTAGGCGCTGCCTGAATCCCGAACTCTCTGCAGTCTTTACCTAGTTCTGTATCTGTCTGTGTCCACATATCCACTTTCAGGGGCACAGTTTGTACACTAGCAGTGACCTTCTCTGTAGTCAGATATGCCTCGATCTCTGTTTGTATAGACATTTCTGTAGTACAAACTGCCTGCTTATCATTCATTTGGACAAACTTATCTAAAGTTGGAATTGTTTCCTTCATAAAATGTTGATCTGACTTGTTGTTGTTTTCCTCATACTTTAAATCAGTTTCCTTCACTTTATCTATTTTACCTTGCAGAAATTCGCTTTCCTCCCTTTGAACACATACTTCATGGTGTTCAACATCTACTTCCTGTCCATTATTCACGATTTGCACCAATGTTCCCTCCTTTTCACACCTAAGCAAATTCTCCTCTCTTTTGTACAGAGCCTCAGCCTCTGTATTGACTGAACTTTTTTCACTGTTATCCAATGGCATACCTGTACTCGCAGCTAATTCGCTGAAAATATCCATTGTGTCACTGTCATCGGAAGTTCCAGTATTGTTTTTCTCGTTTTTGTTATTTGAGTCTAGAACCCTTTGCTTGTTTTGTGTCTTGTTATATGGTATATCTACTTTTGTTGTGTCATCATCAGAAGCTGTAGCATAATCATCTTCACTGGCAGTGCCAGTATCGGAAAAAGTAACAACATTCAGGTCACCATTTGACATCGATACACCATCCCTTCCTGCAGACTTTTCAATATTCTCTGGGTTCTGTGGTATATCACTTCTTGATTTATCTTCACAAGTGTCTGCACTAAAACCATGAATGAGTGAGTTGAATTTACTAAAAAGCCAGGAGGTGTTTTCAGGACTTTTTCCAACTTCCTGTGATTCTGAGTTTAATCCTTTTTTTGCATTTGTCTCAGATTCAACATGTGTTTCTTCATCAATAGAAGTATCTTGTATTAAAGTTTGAGCAGGATTTTGATACTGATCCCCCTCCTCAACCTGCATGTATACTTCTGTATCCTCCTCGGCCTCAAGGTAACTCTCTTCCTCCTCATTCTCTGCTTGGACATTACTCACTTCCTCCTTGTTCTCTGCTTGGACATTACTCACTTCCTCCTTGTTCTCTGCTTGGACATTACTCACTTCCTCCGTGTTCTCTGCCACAATATCATTCTTGTCTGCTTCAATTATCTGAACATTACCTATGCAAATATCTTCCATGACTTCCAGGTCTTCTGAAGATTTAACAGCTGACCTGTTGGATCCATTATATTCGTTTTCTCCGTTTTGTTGATCTTCCAGTGGCCAATCAATATCCGTTTCCAAAACAGGTTTAGGAGATTCTCTCTTTATTTCAGTTGCTGTTTCCACCTTCTTCTGTCCTTGTTTGCCTTTAGATTTTTTACCTTTGGATTTTGTCTTACTTTTTTTAGTATCAGCTTGTTTGTCCGAGGTCTCACTTTCTTTCAATGAATTGTTTTTTAATTGTTCTTTCTGTTTTGACCATACAACATCTCCATGGAAATCATTCTCCTCTGTACCAACATCCTCCTCCTCAGCAAAATTTTCCTCCGAGTGTGCTGCACCATCAGCCTCAGTTAGTACTTGGTCAAGAAATTCAATATTTTCTTCTGTGACCCTATTGTCCTGTTCATTCATATCCATATTACCATTTCCTACAGACACTGTACCATCTACTGGATCGTCAGGACTTGACTCTAGATCCATTTCATAACCATTCACAGAACCCTCACCATTGGTATAATCCTGATGACTATACTGCTGTTGCTGGTCCTGGTGCCTACGTCCCCTGATTTCAGGAACAGTTTTATGGACTTCCCTCATCTGTCTTTTGGTCCGAGTTATCTCCCCTGGTTCAGTCCTATTGTTGTCAGTTCCATACAACATGGATGACATGGTAGGTTTTTCTTTATTACTGAGCGTCTGTCGGGTTGGAATCCTGTTTTGCATAGTTTCATAATTCATCGCCCTAGTCGATAGCACATCAGAACTCCCAAACAAGCGGTCTAGTTTTTCATCCAGTGTGGATTGACCAGAATTATTTCTAGTATTGGTCTCTTCAGACCAATGACTATCACTGGAGTCATAATTCTGAGATCTGTCCAATGTCTGTGTTGATGGATTATAAGGAGTACCAAATAAACTATCCAGTTTTTGATCAAGTGAGGACGGATTATAAATATTCCTTGTACCAGGGACCTTTGAAATCTCAGTCTGATCTGACTTATTATCTAGCATCTTTGTTGATAAAACATCTGGAACACGGCCTGTATGATCTTGGTCATTTCTTCTCCTTGTAATAACTATGTTTCTTTTACTGTCTGACTTCTGTCTTCGAGTTGCAAATGAAGGTCTATTTGATGTTAACACTGAAGGTGTACTGAATAATTCATCAAGTTTCTTTTCAGTCTCTGCACTTAAACCAACTTTTTTCGGCTGAAATGATGAACCACTTAAGGAGGAGTTTCTAGTTGTCCAATCTCCTCTCTGACTTGAATATGTTTCCCTCAGTCTGTAGGAGTCTCTTCCATATAAACGGTGTCTGTCAGATGAAAGTGTACTACTCTCATTAACAGACGGAGAAAATAACCTATCAATTCTCTGATCTCTCTCCTTATCCAATGAAATTCTATCTGAACCAAATGAAGAAAGCCGTTCCTGTGTAGAGTCCAGACGAGAGAAGTTCCGATCATTAAATGAGGCTGGACCTGATCCTGGTATTGACTCCTGTTGTGAGGAGAAGGAACGTAACAAGGGTTGTCTGGTCCTATCTCTTGAATATGATTTCCTAATCGTACTACCATAACTGTGAGGATTTTCAAAAGTTTCACCATAATTCATCTCTTGAAACTCTTTGTCATATGAAGGGAACATACCAACGTCTCCACCATCATCTTTCATGGTCTCCTCCTGGTTACCCTTTTCTTCTGTTGGATCCTCATAATCTGCCCCACCTGATGACCATGCCCTAGACAGAGAAAAAGCCTGTAATGTCCCATCTGTTCGAGGAGAAGTTTTGTTTGTAAATGAACTTATATCACCAAACAAGCTTCTCTTAAAATCCTCAATGTTTTCGTCCTCCTCACTACAGCTGTCATCCTTCCAATAATCGTTTGATTCGACAGGATACGACATGTTTTGGTCACCCTCGGGCTGGGAAGCTGATAATGCAGCATCTGACACCGTTGTAGCACTGCGCGATCTTAACAAATGTCTTGGTCGGTAATCTCCTTCTTCATCAGACAGAGACGATGACCTTGTTTTCCGTGACTGAGATTCTGTCTGATATTGAAATGACTGTGTGGAATATGATTTGGGTTTTACACCTTCTAGATGATCAATCCTGCCCAGACTACCATAAAAACTGGGAGATGTCTCTGGAGAAAAGCTTGAGTATGACCGTCGTGTTGGCGATGAAGTTGTACCAAATTTGTTACTAGACAGAGTTCTAAGTTTCTGATACCCTTGAAGTCGTAACTGTTCTATTTTCTTCAGTCGCTCAAGCCTATCACTATTGCTATCCCCAGTGTACTGGGCCAGTTCATTCAAAGCCTTTATACGTTCATGGGATGTAGACATATTTACAGTTTATATAAGCAGTATCAAATTTCAGGTGGTAGTATCAAATTCTGCAATACCTTTCCAGCAAACAGTGATAAAATTCCATTAAGAAAAAGTTCTTCTCCATAAGTATGCAAGCATGTCACTTTGGTCTAAAACACTTCCTTTAGGACTTGACAGATTCAAGTTACATATTTGTCACCACTGTTTACCAATATAAAATGTCGGCTGTGAAACATGCAGCTATGTACGTCAGCGGTGTTGTGTATTGTTGAATACTACTTCCTGTAAAGCACATGGAGTGGATAATATATTCCAAACTTCACCAATAACAGGCACACCGAACCGTATATACACCTCCATTTGTCGTCTACAAAACTTCACAAGCTTAGCCGGTATATGTCTCAACACTGGTTAGACCAGTTTAAATCTCCTCACCCCATATCAGCTCAGCTGTGACCAAACGATCTACTCTATTCAAATCCATATTCTCCTACTGCAAAAAGTGCAAGCCTACACTCCTATACATACAAAACACATGTGATCCTCCCACACAGCAGTAGTGGGACGTTTACCTGTGGACAGGCTAGCAGTAATGTAAAATGTCTATTAGAGTGGAAGCAATGTGAAGCCAGTCTACCACTGATAAATTAACATCACCTTTCCATCAAAATCCTGTGTAAATCAATATGTATCTCCTTGGTGGGGCTCCCTTGGGATTTAACCTGTTGTATGGTGTATGACATAATTGACTGAGTATTACAGGTAACAATATATGACACCAGCACACTTAGATGTCCTTCCAGTGGTGTACTGATCATTTTGTTTATAGTCACAGGGCATTGTATAAAGGAAATCTGATCAGTTTCTTTTCCTCCGGCTATAGTTTAACCTGTGAACCTTAGCCATGCTTAAAATCAATTCTAATTTTCCTGAAAGAGGGATTTGGGCTTGTCACTGAAATTACACAGTATTAGACATGATTGATGATCGGTAACGCTCATCACTCTACCTTACTCTGTATATATCCACCTTATACTATGTGTGTGTGAAATAATTACCAGAATTATGTCACCTGTTCCTATTTGCTAGTAAGGTACATGCAAAGTATGCTAACTATTTGTGTAAACTCTTTTTTTTTCTCTCAAAGACTGATTTTTTAACCAATCTACATTGTACCTGTAACCACCATAGTCATGTTATGTTGTTGTCATGTTTAGATAATGATACAATGAAAGTCATTTCATGAAATTTCACAAGTATTTTAATTTTCAAAATTCACTCATGACATTTTACCCCAGAAACATCATCCTACAAAAGAATGGAGAAGGAAAAAACTACTTAATGCAGTATAAACTCTGAAGTAATTATAACATCTCAAGCAATTAACAAACACTATATTCCAAGTTTTGAGATGAATGTCCTGGTGTCAGCAAAAGTATGTATCACAAGATTTTCAAGATGGCAACCATTGGGTAGTCATCTTGAAAGTGGCACATGTCCAAATAACATTTTAGGCTACTGATGGACCATTCACTACTCATTATTCAAAGTCATTGTGTTCCAAATCATCAATTTCCAAGTTTATTCTTTTGGAAAGCTTGCCAGGTAACACATCACCTAATTGCTTAGTCAGCCAGACTCTTGTTGTCTGCACTTGTGAAGGATTATCACAGTGAACAGGACTATTTGTTGCTATACCCATCTTGTTGCTATAGCCATTTGAGCAAAATATTACCAAGACTTCCACTTCTGTGTTATAACTTTATAAGTGACAGTATTGATGTTTTTTTCCCCCACTTTACCAAATGTTAACCATTCCATTTCCTGTACAATTATTCTTATAACAATAAGTCACAAGCAGTGCATATACACTTTAGAGTATTACAGGGTACCACACCCAAGATACATGTCCTTGTCAGAAGGTCATCTTAATGAGCATACAATCACGTTAAAACCATTCTGAACATGTCGGTATATAAAATCAGGTAAAGATCTTTAAAAGCTGTATATTCTTCATTCCTTTCTCATATCTTTTTGCACATAATTACATAATACTGAAAATATTCTCCATCACATTCAAAATGATCACCTATCAGCCATCTTGCTTTTCTGATTGGTCTCAAAAGAAATACGAGTTTCAGAGGAACTTATGAATGCTCCCCAAAAAATAAATTTACAAATATCTTTAAAAATAAGTTGAATTCAAAAGTTTGAAAAGGGAAAGAACATTGTTTCAACATTTTACGTACTGCATACATGTTTTTCACAACTTGATATATACATGTGCTTGAGCTATGAAAGAATGCATGTTTATCTTTTGGATTTGTAAATTGTGTGGAATATAATCAAGAGTTCTATGATTGTAGGCTTTGAAGCTATTTTTGAAAAACAATTAAGCTCCTGACACAAAATTTTAATAAGGGACAATATCTCTGTAATTATGGGATCAATGCAGGTACCGACTTCAGTACACTACAAACTTTCCCTATCCAACTTTTAATACAAGTAAATTGAAGCTCCTGGCTAAAAATTTTACCAAAAGGGCAACAACTCTGTAAACATTGGGGCTGTTGGCCTTTAATAAAAGCAGATTACCTTTGTGTAACACACCAAGTTTCATGATGTTTACTCATCTTTGAGCAAAGTTATGCTCCAGACACAAAAAGGACAAGACTGAAATACAACTGCACCGAACAACAATAAGCTCCCCCAAAAAACATTTTCATGAGCATCAAAATGCACAACTTCCAACCAAGAGGAACACAAAGTAGATTCCTCTTAGTCTCTAGTGAAGTCTTGTGCTCTCTGGATTAGAAATCTGACAGAATAAGATCCATTCAGTACTTCCCATGAAAAAGTTGTATCAAACTTTCATTTTTTTTTCAAAATCCAAGACCACTATTGTACCATTTATTTTTCTGTTCAGTCCCAAAAGAGCACAATTAGGGACCATGGAGAGCCAACATACATTGTTTAATGTTTTGCAAATTCAGGACCCATAATCTACATATTCTGAAAGCCTGTTCTTCTACATGTAGTACTCCTTATCCATAATGAATTTAACGGTAACTGATAAAAAGATTTCACAAGTGTGACCATGTATTTATACCTGGTATGTATACACACACAAGTGTTGATTATATTGTTTACAAGCATGGGCGTAAGTGTGGATATTTCTGGGGTGGGTAGAATCAGAAAGTGCAATATGCATACCTGGTTATGTACCTTCAGTTTTATGAAATCACTTCCCACGTGTGTTAAGTTTACATAGAAACAGGAACTCATTTTGACAAGAATTATACTTAATAGGAATTATACTAGGTTTTGCTTCTCCCTTTTTCCTAGAATACATATTTGATAAAAATTTAAAGCAAAACATGCCTTATGATACCAAATTTCCTACTTAACTTTAATGATTGACAAGTACCATAGAAATATCTATATTGATGCTGTATAGTAAAACAAATTCTTTTAAAATTTTCTTTCCACTCAAATATGGCTTTTTACCAGCATAATACTATACTACTCTTGAGGAAGAGTGTAAGGGGAATTTGTCCGAAATCAATGTATTTGTTTAAGGCTGATCAACGACTAAATTTCATATTGATACAAGTTATAAAAACTTTTATTTCTAAAAATCTGGATGACATTTTGTAAATGATGGATGTTAAAGTGTTCCCTTTGCATTCCAGCGATATACAAAATTATCTAGTTTTGTTTACATTTTACTTAAAGCGTAACTTTTAAATGTGAAATAATGATGACAATGCCGTCATCTCAATCACCATAGGATAACTAACAACTGTAGTCTAGTTTTCACAACTTTTCATCACTTAAATCCATGCAATGGTTTTTGTCCTGTTGTGAAGAAATAAATTTCAAAAGGCAAAATTCAAAATTGCAACTGCAAGCTTTCTTGATTAACCTAAACATTTGATTTATATAATAAAGGATAAATCATAAAAAACCACAAGGACTCGTAGACTGACAGGAAAATGTGATCAGGAAATCATATATCAGATCAGATGGCGGCTTAATCACTGCACATCATACAGATCAGATGGAGGCTCAACAACTGCACATCATACAGATCAGATGGAGGCTCAATAACTGCACATCATACAGATCAGATGGAGGCTTAATAACTGCACATCATACAGATCAGATGGAGGCTTAATAACTGCACATCATACAGATCAGATGAAGGCTCAATAACTGCACATCATACAGATCAGATGGAGGCTTAATAACTGCACATCATACAGATCAGATGAAGGCTCAATAACTGCACATCATACAGATCAGATGAAGGCTTAATAACTGCACATCATACAGATCAGATGGAGGCTTAATAACTGCACATCATACAGATCAGATGAAGGCTTAATAACTGCACATCATACAGATCAGATGGAGGCTTAATAACTGCACATCATACAGATCAGATGAAGGCTTAATAACTGCACATCATACAGATCAGATGGAGGCTCAATAACTGCACATCATACAGATCAGATGAAGGCTTAACTGCACATCATACAGATCAGATGGAGGCTTAATAACTGCACATCATACAGATCAGATGGAGGCTCAATAACTGCACATCATACAGATCAGATGAAGGCTTAATAACTGCACATCATACAAATCAGATGGAGGCTTAATAACTGCACATCATACAGATGGAGGCTTAACTGCATGAAGGCTCAATAACTGCACATCATACAGATCAGATGGAGGCTTAATAACTGCACATCATACAAGAGTTTATATTCTTCTTAGTTTATGTATTAAAATGTGTATATGGTCCAAAAAATACCTGGTACTAATGGAGTCAAATATATTGATGCCCAGATGCCATAGCATTCCCACATTAAAGCAAATATTCAATTCCTTTGTATTCAGGTATTCAAAAGTTCTATTAGGTAATAATTTATGTCAGTTTTTCTACAAGAGTGACATAGATTATATCATACTGAACTTTTTACAGGTTTTCATTTTCCTATTTTATAGGAAAAATTATTTTTCTATAAGAGTTACCTCCCTTAGTAATTCATTAACCATTACTTCTCGTCTTTGCTAACTAGATTCGTCTTTGTAAAGGAAAAAGCTCCATAATCATAAAAAGAAAAGAAACGGTTATCAAATGCAACTAGTTTATAATCATACAGTTTCAAACACGTCATCAAAAAGATCATTTAAGGCTAGTTATAAACACCATCTCAAAACAAATAACGCTTAAAGCTATTTTCTTTTCAATGAGCTAGTAAATGTTTCACTAATCCTCGATGCAAGTTTTTTTCCCACAAGATGTTAATACACCTTAAAAAGTGCACAACTTGAAGACATCATATTTAGGACTTTGAAATTTTAGTAGAATCGGAAATACAACAATTTCATTTGGAATGGTAATTTAAATAACTTTTTTAATTGTAAAAAATGTGTTTAAAATTGGTCTCAATCCTTTTGCTTTGTCCCCTTCTAAGCTCTACCATTCAAGTTTTCAGACAAGTAGAGTCTACAGAACACTTACATTACTACTTAGTCCAATACAATGAACTTACAAAACCTGAGTGCAAATTACATTGTAGGTACCATTTCCAAAATTTGGGTGAATCTAGTTAAAAAAGCAATGTGGTGGGTTCTCAAAATTTGAGTGAGCCCCACAGGAAATGCTCGAGACCAGGACCTGATTAGTCCAGTCCCTAAAATCACTATCTGCTTATCAGAAAACTATTGTCACACTCAAATGTAGAAATTTATAGGTTCAAAACCAAGAGATGTCATGTTTGGCATAGATTTTTTTAGAGCTTAGAAAAGTGGTTCTATTTTTCAAGCAAAATTTGCTTTAAAGATGTTTAATTATTAGTAAACACTACACTAACAGAAACCGATATGTTATAAACAAATCATTCTCAGAAGATACAATATGAAATGACAAATCTTTAATTTGCTAGACACATATGATCAGTATACACAAATAGATTTCCAGAATGTTTAGTTATTTCAACAATGTCTAGATTTATACTCATGATGTACCGAAGATGATCCATGATTTAATTGTGATATGAAATGAAATGAAGAAACAACTTCTTAATATTACTTGATTTTTTTATACATGTTACCCATGCAAAATGGTAACAAATTGTCTAACAATCGAAGAGCTTTTATAAAACACTGGCGCATCAGACCAGTGCTATAGTAACACTCAAATGTCAAACTGAATGAAACCAGTATCTGTGACATGCACTGGAGATAATATCTAAACAGTTTTAAGTTTTTTCCAAGTTCTGTATCATGCCCGTTGACAAAATTAAACAACACAATTCAAGGACATGACATAAGTATGTCATATCACTCACGGAGTCTTTTCTCTTCACGAACAATACAAAATGGTCTAATGAAATAGTTCTAATGATGGGAGGTTTTGGATAATTCATCGCCTGTTGTATCCTCCGCCACCACCACCGCCTCCTCGGCCGTAGCTACCACTGTTTCCATATGGTGTTGCTCTGTGTCCGCCGCCACCGCCGCTCCTGTTCATGGCTCCTCCTCCATAGTTGTCCCCATACCCTTGGCCGAATCCCTGTTGACTGTAACCACCACCATAGTTATCATATCCACCACCACTGTTATACTGTTGGTTGTAACCTCCACCATAACCGCCACCACCCTGGTTGTAGTTGTCGTAGCCACCTCCCTGACCGAAACCACCTCCTTGGTTATAGCCACCACCTTGGTTGTAGCCACCACCACCACGGCCTCTCCCTCGACCTCCTCCCATTCCACCACGGCCTCCTCCGCGACCACCTTCTCCCCCGTCCTTAGGGAGGGCTTTCTTAACCTCAACTTCTTTACCGGCCACCTTGAATTTCTTTCTCAACACACATTGATCAACGCAATCATAGTCCTCAAATGAGACAAAGCAAAATTTCTTGTTTTTACCAGTAGCTTTGTCTTTTATCAAGTCTACTGATTTAATTTGTCCAAATTCCTGAAACGATGCACGGAGATCTTCTTCCGAGGTGTCCTCATTTAGCCCGCCAACAAACATTTTCTCTACCGATAGAGATGATTCCCCACTTTCTCTGGGCATAGCTCGTTTCGTTTCCACTTGCCTGCCATCCAGTTTGTGAGGTCGATTATTCTGTGCAGTATCGGCACCCTCTTGTGTTTCGTAAGTGATGAATCCAAAACCCTTCGGTCGTTTGCTCTCGCGGTCTTTTATGACCACACAATCATTCACTGTTCCGAATTCTTCGAAATGTGCTCTCAGGGTTTCATCTGTAGTTTCAAAGCTCAACCCACCGATAAAAAGCTTCCGGAACTTATCATCCGATTCTTGGCATCCCATATCATACATTTTGACACCTTTTTTGAAGTTCTTAATCAAAAAGAAGTGTCCTCCTCTTTGTGTGTGAAACTCGTGGCCCCGGCAAAAATGTCTACCCACGCCGCTGATGACTTCCGGATATGCGCAAAGACCGACTCAGTAGGAATTTTCATCGACGTAAACGAGACGCTTAATACAAAAACAGTGCAGTTTTCAAAATGGAACATTTAGGTCAAACGTCTTCCGGATCTCCTCTACACGTTTCCTTAGTCTTTTGTTTAAAAACATGTGTTCTTGAATTATATTATTCCTTTGTTTCGACTAACAGAGCGTCCACCCTTTCATTCAAAGAACCGTTATATTAAATCAATTCGATTGTCTAAAACGGTCCTCTTACTTCCTTCTTTCTCAGTGAAAAAAAAAACACGAGCATAATTTATGCAGGATATCCGCCATTTCCAAATTATCATTTCAGTCGGTAATAACTGACACGTGATCATACACGCAACTCCCTGAATTAGCATTTATCGTTTTGAATTTATGAAATTCGGTTATAACAAACACCTATATGACACCATTTTATCTGAACGTATCGCGCCAATATGAAAGGTTTACATGAAATCACTACACAGCTTGTATGATTTTTGAAAAGAGACTTGCACAAGTCCGTTTACACGATATAACGGTTATGCATTATCGTTTTAGCCGTTTTTGATACAAAGGGAATGAGAACAAAACAAAACAAATGTGCAGTCATCTGATTATCTGCATAAATATATGGGTTTTTTTATATGCTAAATATAGCCATTTATAGGTTGGTTTCATAAATATCAATGGTGTTTTTCTCATAAACAAGCGAGAAGATATAGAACAGGTAAAGACTTGGATAAGCTAATGACATTACTTTATCAGAATTTGTAGTGATTGTTAGTTGGTGGTGAAAACAATTAACACATGCATAATGAAAGTATAAGATTGTGATTATCAAAAGTCAAATTCAATACATGATTATTATTTTTCTTTAATAATAATAAAAAAAACAGGTTGGACATGTCATTATCCGAAATCTTATGTTTTCAGTAGTATTATATATTTAATACCAAAATCAATATATTCTTGAATGAGAATAGATAGCTATAGCCAAAGTTGGACCTTGGTGGAGAGGTTACAGTTATGTCTATTAAACTAATATAACCTCAATAAATCTCCCCTTCCTGCATATTGCATCAAAACATTTTGGTATCATACTCAACACTAAAATGAACCTATGCTCATCACAATATTAGTTGTAATTAACATACAGAGGTTAACTTATTAGAATCAATCCATGATATGTTCATGTGTTTCTTAAGTGAAAGAGAATGATGTTTATGAACTGATAAAAACTTTGCAGGATTATCAAATTTTTCAGTATACCACAATAATATATTTACTCATTTTTATCATTCGAAAAGAATTCTGTGGTTGTGACAATAACACCTGTACCACTGACAGGGCTCTCACACCCCATTTAGGGACTGGGGCCCAGGGCTTTAGAATTGGGAAAAATAGCAGCATTTTCCTTAGAATTGGGAAAACCTGGGGTCTAAATTGGGAAAAAAAGATACTATTTTGCACTGGGATTCGGCCCCAAATCTGGCAGATCAAGAGCACTGACTGGTCATGACAGTAGTCCAGTACCTGTGGTCATGACAGTGGTCAAGTACTTGTGGTGTTGACCAGTACCTGTGATGGTGACCAGAAGACCAGTACCTGTGGTGGTGACCAGTAGACCAGTACCCTGTGGTGGTGACCAGTAGACCGGTATCTGTGGTGGTGACCAGTAGACGGGTACCTGTGGCGTTGACCAGTACCTGTGGTGGTGACCTGTAGACTGGTACCAGTAGACCAGTACCCTGTGGTGGTGACCAGTAGACCGGTTCCTGTGGTGGTGACCAGTAGACCAGTACCCTGTGGTGGTGACCAGTAGACTGGTACCTGTGGTGGTGACCAGTAGACCAGTACCTGTGGTGGTGACCAGTACCTGTGATGGTGACCAGTAGCTGTGGTGGTGACCAGTACCTGTGGTGGTGACCAGTAGACCGGTACCTGTGGTGGTGATCAGTAGACCGGTACCCTGTGGTGGTGACCAGTAGACCGTTACCCTGTGGTGGTGATCAGTAGACCGGTACCTGTGGTGGTGACCTGTAGACCGGTACCCTGTGGTGGTGACCAGTACCTGTGATGGTAACCGGCAGACCAGTACCTGTGGTGGTGACCAGTATACCATCTGTACTTGTGGTTGTGACCATCTATCATACTTGCGAACTATGTCTTTGAGAATGAAAATATACTGACACAAAAAGACACACAACCTAAATATTTTAACAAGAGGCCAAGAGGGCCTGTATCGCTCACCTGGATCTTTATGACCAACATTACTATATCTGTGCATATGTTCCACGTTTAACACATTTGACCCCTGTGACCTTGACTATGGGTCAAGGTCATTTCTTTTACTTTCTTGGACTTCATAAAAGGAACATACTGGCCAAACATGATTCTAGGCTTTTCGATATTTCGGAAGAATTTTTTTAAACGTTTTAACACATTTGACTCCTGTGTCCTTGAAGATTGGTCAAGGTCATTTCTTTCAGCAAACTCTGTAGGACACCGTAACAGGAACATAGTCGCCTAATATAATGATTCTAGGCCTTCCGGTATTTTGGAAGAAGTCGTTTAAAGGTTTTAACACATTTGACCTCTGTGACCTTGAATATGGGTCAAAGTCATTTCTTTTTGCAATCTTTGTTTGGCTTCATCAAAGGAACCTTCCAGCCAAATATAATGATTCTAGGCCCTCCGGGATTTTGGAAGATGTCGTTTAAAGGTTTTAACACATTTGACCTCTGTGACCTTGAATATTGGTCAAGGTTATTTTTTTTTGCAAAATTTGTTGGGCTTCATCATAGGAACCGTAAAGCCAAATATAATGATTCCAGGCCTTCTGGTATTTTGGAAGAAGTCGTTTAAAGGTTTTAACACATTTGACCTCTTTGACCATGAATATGGGTCAAGGTTATTTTTTTTTTGCAAACTTTGTTGGGCTTCATCAAAGGAACCTTCCAGCTAAATATGATAACTCTACGCCTTTCGGTATTTCAGAAGAAGTTGTTTAAACGAAAAGTTGACGGACACCGGACGGACGGACGCCGGGCTATGGCATAAGCTCACTTGGTCCTTTGGGCCAGGTGAGCTAAAAATGTTAACACACTACTGTTAGGCATTTTGTATAACACAATATAAAACATGAACTCCGATACAAATGACAGCGTTTTGAGCTTTTCAAAGTTTGTCATCCTTCATGTATCAGGCAATAAAAATCTGATATTGAAATTTGTTTGTCATTGGTTAAAAGATGCCAAAGGTAACTAACAATGAACACAACAAAACATTGCAGTAACTGTTGGCTGGAAACACCCAAAACACAGTAGCAAGAGTGTCCATTAAGGTACAATATCTTTTCTATACTTCCGCCTTGGACTGACCTCGGACAGGCTGGCTGAAGGTTATGATGTCATGTCGTTTCATGAGGATGCAGCACTTGTACAAGTAGTTTAGAACTGCACAGAACATTGCTAATGAGCCACAATGGACATACAATCCAAGAATAAGCCAAGATACGCCGCTGATTCATGCTGTATCGTCCAGATGGGTGTCAGCATGTTTTTCAACATCATGGTGAATGTTACGTTGATAACAAGGCAGGTGTGGTGTTGGTAGCATTATAGTGTGGTTCAGGTTCTGTAGTGGCCACAAAACCTGCTTGGTGATCATTAAATGGAATCTTACAGTTCAACGATGCATTGATAGTCTTCTATAATAGTGTCTTCACAACCTTTTCTTTCAACAAAAGAATGCTTGATGAAGCACAAAGTGCAAATGACATGTCTTTGCCAAAACAATGTTGACACTGTACTTTATAGTCCGCATCTCTCACCAACATGTGTGGGACATGTTAGATCAACACATTTAAACATGCCCAAATTCATGCAAGTTTACTTGTTCTGAAATTTATGAAATTCATTGTACAATGGGTTTAGTGTACCTACCAATCTTGATTTGGACTTTTTTTGAATAGATTTTGCTTTTCCCAGTTGCCTCCTTTGTCTCAAAATTTTGGCTCTTCGCATCACTGACGAGTCCTAGAAGGATGAACCAGCTGTATGATGAAGCATCACTGACGAGTCCTAGAAGGATGAAACAGCTGTATGATGTAACATCACTGACAAGTCCTAGAAGGATGAACCAGCTGTATGATGTAGCATCAATGACGAGTCCTAGAAGGATGAACCAGCTGTATGATGTAGCATCAATGACGAGTCCTAGAAGGACGAAACAGCTGTATGGTGTAGTATCAATGACCAGTCGTAGAAGGACCAAACAGCTGTATGATGTAGCATCAATGACGAGTCCTAGAAGGATGAACCAGCTGTATGATGTAGCATCAATGACGAGTCCTAGAAGGATGAACCAGCTGTATGATGTAGCATCAATGACGAGTCCTAGAAGGATGAACCAGCTGTATGATGTAGCATCAATGACGAGTCCTAGAAGGATGAACCAGCTGTATGATGTAGCATCACTGACGAGTCCTAGAAGGATGAACCAGCTGTATGATGTAGCATCAATGACGTGTCCTAGAAGGATGAACCAGCTGTATGATGTAGCATCAATGACGAGTCCTAGAAAGATGAACCAGCTGTATGATGTAACATCAATGACGAGTCCTAGAAGGATGAACCAGCTGTATGATGTAGCATCAATGACGAGTCCTAGAAGGATGAACCAGCTGTATGATGTAGCATCACTGACGAGTCCTAGAAGGATGAACCAGCTGTATGATGAAGCATCACTGACGAGTGCTAGAAGGATGAACCAGCTGTATGATGTAGCATCAATGACGAGTCCTAGAAGGATGAACCAGCTGTATGATGTAGCATCAATGACGAGTCCTAGAAGGATGAAACAGCTGTATGATGTAGCATCACTGACGAGTCCTAGAAGGATGAACCAGCTGTATGATGTAACATCACTGACGAGTCCTAGAAGGACGAACAGCTGTATGATGTAGCATCACTGACGAGTCCTAGAAG